AGGTTATCTTCTAAGGAAACTGGGAAAACAAAGATTTAGCTTTGTTAGCTTTGCAGTAGAGGAAGGCAAGGTAAAAAGGAGTTGAGGATAGCTGTCAAGTAAACCTGCTAACAATGAATGGAAACTACTTTAACCCTGGCCAGTGTGGTGGGCTGGGTTCCCGGGAGGGGCATGCAGGAGACAGCCAATCGATGTATCTCTCTCTTCCCCCTCTCCTTTCCTCTCTCTCTAAAATTAATAAAAATATATATTTAAGAACAATAGCAACAACAAAAATACCTGCTTTACATTTACTAAGGTTTTGATCTAACTTCATTTTCCTGCGCGGTGACTGCTGAGTGCTGCTGCTTCCATTTCTTTAGCTCTTTTTTTTGATTACTGAAATTATATTCTTGAATACTGGTGGTTTCTGATGTTTTGTTTTAATTGCCATTTCCAATGAACCTTTAAGAGTCCACATTCCCTAGAAAAGTTAAGGAAGAAAATGTCTTTTTCTTAATCTTCTACGTTGTTACTGTTATACTTTTCCTTTCTTCCAGTACCCCTTAATCTCTTAAGTTCTCAACCCTCTTTTTTCCTACAGATCCCTCCCATTCTTTGTTAGTTTCTCACTCTTAGTACTATAGCATAGCTTCTACATGCCTGATTTCTAAGCATCTCAACCCTCATCACCCCCTCTTCCATTCCAGATATATTTCTGATTATTCTGAAAACATTCCTATATTCTCTTCACTTTAGACATGTACTTATTTATATGCACCTTCTTTACCTGATTTCAAGGACCTTCACAGTTGCTCTCTGAGATATCTTTCCAGGTTTTTCCCTTTCATAATTCCTTTTTGTCATTTCCATGCTTGAGCCAGATTAGTTCATCTCTCTGAGGACCCCTTGGTGCAATGTAGAATAGTGTCTCCTGGAATTCTGCAAAGTATGTGAAGTGTCTTCCCTCTTTTAACCCCTACATGAGCTTGTATCTTGATCTCTTCTATACCTCTTTTATGTGTACTCCTTGTTCAACTTTAAAAATTTTTGAAGTCTTTATAAAGTATGGCGTTCCTGTTTATTTTCTCTGAATTGTCTACTAGCATAATACTTGATTGGATTAGACCAACAGTTTTCAACCTTTTTCATCTCATGGCACACATAAACTAATTACTAAAGTTCTGTAGCACAATGAAAAATATATCATTTTTGGCCAATCTGACAAAAAAAAAAAATAGGTGTAATTTTTATTTATTCATACAGGCCAACTATTGTGTTGGCTGTTGTCATTTTTAAAAATTTGACAATCTAAGTCACATGTGTCAAACACAAGGCCCGCGGGCCAAATCCGTCCCGCCAGGCCTTGCAATGTGGCCCGCACCACGCTGTCATCACTGCACTCCGCTGCGTTTCCATCACAATGACAGTTTATGACTGTTCAGTAAACCATTCGGCCTGCGATTTAGGCTGGATTTTAGATTTTGGCCCCTTCTCTGATTGAGTTCGACACCCCTAATCTAAGTGATCAGTGCTCCTGACTAAATAGTCAGATGTTGCATGTTTTAAAATTCTTACAGTCCATCTGTTGAAAATTACTGAATTACACACTCAAAATATTTTCTTCCCAAGAAAATTTTTGTGCTTTAATATACTAGTAAATTACTATGTAAACATAGGTTTTGAACAAATAAATTGCAGAATAAGATCAGTGGAGCTTTACAGTCTTATTTTGATTGTTAATTAATATTGTTTATTCTTAAAACAGGTATCCTGATTGGAATCCTGAGATCCTCCCATCAAGAAGGTAATTCTTAATTTATTTTATTATTTTCCACCGCCGTTTATCTCCTCTATGGCCTACTGCATCTCCACCCTTCTCCCACATCCCCACCTACACAATCATCATGGAAGGTAATTATGTTTTTAGCAATGATGTTATTGAAACAATTTTCTTTTTAGAAGTAAGCAAGTACTTTTTTTTTTTTAATACGATACTGTTTTGAACTAAGTCCAGTTTTAATTACCCCAACTTAAATAGTTTTCCTCTTCTACTTTTTAGTCTTTTTAAAAAAATACTTCCTATTTTTGTTATTACTTTATACTTGTGGAATCTTAGATTATAAATTGCCTTGAAGGATGGGAATGGTTTTATTAAGGTTGGTTGTTTTCCCTTGGGGGGTTTGAGGGGTCCTTATTCGTTGTGCATATATACAAATACAGCAGTCAAAGAAGTATTTGTAAATGGCATAATGTTTTAGGAAAAAAGTTGAAAAGTATTTCTTGATATAAATTGTTTCCTAAAATTTTTTGTCCTAAACTTTTTATATAACTAAATATTTTTAAAACATGTCTATACTGCCGAAACCGGTTTGGTTCAGTGGATAGAGCCTCGGCCTGCAGACTGGAAGGTCCCAGGTTCGATTCCGGTTAAGGGCATGTACCTTGGTTGCAGGCTCATCCCCAGTAGGGGGTGTGCAAGAGGCAGCCGGTCAATGTTTCTTTCTCATCGACGTTTCTAACTCTCTATTCCTCTGTCTTCCTCTCTGTAAAAAAATCAATAAAATATATTTTTTTAAAAATATCTATACTAATAAAAGGTTAATATGCTAATTAGACTGGGAGACCTTCCAGGCGTCCTTCCTGACAAAACCATGTAGGTGGGGCAGAGGCAGAGGCAGAGGCGGTTAGGGGTGATCAGGCCAGAAGGGAGGGCAATTGAGGGCGATCAGGTGGGTGGTGGGAGGGCAGTTGAGGGAGAACAGGCGGGGAGGGAGGGGTAAAAGCAGTTGGGTGAGGCCAGCAGGCAGAGTGGTTAGGGGTGATCAGGCAAGTAAGTGGTTAGGAGCCAGTGGTCCTGGATTGTCAGAAGAAATGTCTGACTGCCAGACATCCCCCAAGGGGTCCCAGATTGGAGAGGGTTCAGTTGGAGAGGGTGCAGGCCGGGCTGAGGGATACCCCCACTCCCACCCCGTGCACGCATTTTGTGCACCAGGCTACTAATTTGTATATAATAGTGATATAGGAAAAGCCTGAGAAATTGATGATAATAAAATTCTGTAAATTAGCCAAAGAGAGGGATCCAAGCAGTTAGAGGGCTGGGCATCTTGTCTGATTATTTCTTATTTGTCTCAAGGCTAAATCAGATCATAACAAACAAGTTTTTGTTTTTAAATAAATACATAGTATCAGAATTTGCTTTTATTAGTAGTCTATTTTTAAGAATATCCTTTTGTCACTTAAGTAGCTTAAATTTACATTAAATTGCTGAATTTGTGTCTCTTTTTCCACTTTGTAGAAATGAAGGCAATAGAAAAGAAAATGAAACTCCAAGAAGTCGTTCTCATTCCCTTAGTCCTAGACATTCTAGGAGATCAAGTTCAAGTCACAGATTCCATCGATCTCGAAGCCCACCACGTTATATATATAGACCAAGAAGTCGAAGTCCAAGAATTTGCCATCGTTTCATTTCCAGATATAGATCCAGGTCCCGTTCACCATATCGAATGAGAAATCCATTTAGAGGTAGTCCAAAAAGCTATCGATCAGTTAGCCCTGAAAGGATATCAAGGAGATCAGTGAGATCATCAGGTACACTTATGATCATGTATAAGTCTACTTACTTTGACCGTTTTTCTTTAAGGTTTTTTATTTGTTTGAATTTTTATATTTGTATATCTTTAATAAGTTTGAAATGGTGGTTTATGTACTGTTAAGATTTAACAAAAGTTGACATCTGAGTTATTTGCCTTAGCTCTTTTTTAACTTCTTAAGAAATGAAATATTTTACTTTATTAAATTTTTGAATTGTTCTATGACGTCTGACCACATCAAAACCTAGTTAATTTTTCTTCCCTTATTAACTATTAGAAGAAATGTGCAGGAGTGTACATGTCCACCCAACATCGATTTTAAAAACCAAGGATATACAAACATCTTGCCTTTATAATTGATTATAGACTTACCAGAGGCCTGATGCACAAGAGTAGGCCTTCCTTCCCTTGGCTGCCGGCACCGGCTTCTCTCTGGCACCCGGGACCCAGGCTGGCTTCCTTCAGGCCAGCTGCAGGCACCCAGGACCTGGGCTGGCTTTCCTTAGGCCCTGGCCTCATCAGGAAGGGTATCGGGAATGACATTGGGTCTAAATAGCATATTACCCTTTTATTATTATATAGATTTTCTGTGAATTAATTTGAAAGCTTTTTGAAATTATTCATATTTTAACTTGGTGTTAATAATTATTTGTTTAGTGATCTTTACAGAAATAGTTCGTATATATACTATACATACAATCCTGGAGGTCTTTTCAGAGATCTGCGAAGTATTACCTTTCTCAACTAATCACATGCCTGTGTGACATGTAGTTTCTTTTTATATTTCAACCAGAATGTAACCAGCAGAATGCGTGCAAAAGCAGATATGAGAATTTAGGTGTTTTCTCTTAAGCCCAACATTAAAGTGTTTGTGGAAAATGTACAACAGTGCTACTCAACTAATTTTTGTTTTTGCAGTTCTAGTGTTTCATAAAAATTTGTTATTTAAGTTCACAAAGGAGTTTATTATTAAATGAATAAGTGTTTTTAAAATATTTTAATTTCTTTTATGGGAAATACTGAGTACTTATGTTTTAGAGCGTAGAGGGATACAGAGAACAAAACTTGTGGACAGCTGGTGTAATAGAAGCTCACTGAATAAAGGAAGTTCATGTAAATGCTTTTTGCATGAAAGATTAAAGACTAAAAATTTTTTGTGTATTTATGCTCCTCGTTTGTCCTGACAGTGGCTCTATGTTATAAATATTTGGACAGTTGAAAGGTTAATCTTTAAAAAAAAAAAAAAAAAAAAAAAAAAAAAAAAAAAATATATATATATATATATATATATATATATATATATATATATATATATATATAATGTGATGAAATGTTTCTACCTTAAGTTCCTTTCAATTAAAGTAGTATTTATATCCTCTTCACTAGATAGAAAAAGAGCATTAGAAGATGTAGCACAACGATCAGGGCATGTCCCAGAATTCAGTAAGGAGAAGCATTTTGAAGCAGTTGATAAAGGACACTTAATAGCACGAAAGGCTAAAACTGGAAGTGGATCAAAGCCATCATCTAAATCTGTAAGCTCTACAAAGAATGATTCAAATTTAGGAGGATATTCTACTCGTTACAAATCAAAGAATCTTGAAGATGCCACCTTATCCGAATGTAAACAGATGTCTGATAAA